TTAAATAATAATTCAGAAATATTCTATTTAACCAGTGTTTTCTACATAAAAGGACCTATTGGTGTAACCCTGATGAATAGTTTTCACAGTTCACAGGCACAGTTAATTTTAGTTTAAGGAGATACATGCTATTAATTTTAATGTGGTCTTTGGGGGCTGCTATTGCTTTTATAACTACATTAGAACACTGACTACTGCTTTGTTTGTTTCATTTAGCAAAGCCAACTGAACCATACCTATGAAACTCTTCAGAAGTAAACCTTCTCCCACTGAAAAGGTGAATCACATATGCTTTGGACATAATGTATCATCATTAGAAACAAAATATTTAAATTGTTTTATTCAAAACAAGCTCTCACATTTTGTATACTTTTCTTCATCACCAAATACATTTAGTTATTTCCTCATATCTTATTTGAATGAGCAGGATGGGAGCACACTGAGAGACATTCTCATATATGTAGATGACATGGTTTTATTGTAACACACTAGGACTGACCTAAATAGAAAACTGGCCCTGTAATCTAATTACAAGGGGGGAAACAAAAGAAGCAGTAGAATAAGGGCCACATATCAGCTTCTCATAAATTAAATAGTCATCATTTGTGGTGGCTGTCCATCCAACTTCAACGGACTTGCAATTAACAGTTCTCTACAGCACGTTAACTCCTTCCATCACCTACACATTTATTTTGCAGTCAGTTTATTTTGAAGGATATAGCAGAGAGTTACCACTAAGGGTTTGTGTGTAGGTTGGGGGTGGGGTTATCCATTAAGGGTAAGGGAAAAGGCATTAGATTATGCTCGATTTATAATTTTTCAGGCTAATACGACTGAAGGCATTCCTCATGATTTAGCTGAGAATTTAGGACTGTATTACTCTCATCTATGGACTGAAATGAACCCAGAACTAAATCTTAAGGAAAAATCTCGGCCCTGCTGGATAAACTCCCTCAGCCCACCTCTGTATGAGATGGTGGCCTCCTACCGATGCATGTGTCCTGGTCTGGGTTCTCAACTTTCTTTAGCTGAGCTAACTACAAAAGCCTATGACATTTGATATATCGAATGGCTGCCCCCCAGGTACATCTAGTAAACTTAAGAACATATTGCTACTTAAGACTTATTAAATACTTGATTGTGAGGAATCATATTTATGGGAGGACAGTCCAATGAATGCCCATTCATTCATTGAAAAGCTATCTTGGATTAAGCCAGGGCAGCAAACACAACCTCTGCATTTTGCCACGTAACCCTACTCATTTCCATATCATGTTGGCCAATACTGAGAGGCATTATAAGAAAAATACCCCTATGAAAGTCTTCTCTGTCTTTACTACAGGGAGTTATGAGGCTGCTGTTTACTGTGTTCCATAGTGCTTTCTTTCTGGACCTTCCATAGGGACATCTCTCTGGTCTCAGTACAGTGATGGTTAGGTTCCTCTAAGCACTGCTCTGCCTTTATCAAATCGGCACCAGCATGTCCCAGGCATTACCTGCTAGTAAGTACAAATTAAATCACATTTTTAGTAAGATCCCCAAATCATGATGCTGCAAGCCCCTGACCATTAGGAAGTCCAAGTAAAGATCAAGGGGTTCCTTCCACAAACATTTCTGTAACTACCCAAGGATACTGACATGTGTGACCTAAATGTCTTCCTGCACCCAAGGATGTGCTGGTAAATGTTTAACATTTGGCTCTCTAGAGGGAAAAGCTATGATTTGTAGCATTTACTGATTTCATTGGTGTAAATACTTCCCTCATGGCAAATTTTAAGTAATCAATATGATGTCAGTGAACACGGAATTTGGAAGACAGATAGATATATATGTTGTATATATTCAGAAATAATACTGGAAAATGGTTGTCTGTGGCTGGTGAGATTATAGTTTTTTTTTTTTTTTTTTCCATTTTCCAAATTTCCTTCAATAAACATATTTCACTCTGGAAAAAAAGAAAGATACTATGGTGGCAAATATGACCCGAACTGATGTGAAGCTAATTGTAGTATTTATCTTACTCGATGTTAATCTTCATATGATTTTGTTCAAGCTGCTGGGGTATTAAGTAACATACAGAACATGTACCAGTTTACCTTAAAAATCTGAAGAGCACTAAATTCTGATATAGTTCTTTGGGAGAGAGATCCCACAGAAAATTTATTGGGTCCCTAGTGATATAGCTCTTTCATTTTTATAATTGCTTTTTCTTTCCCAGGATTCTAAGGCAGTGGAAAACCTGGGCAGGGGGGAGGGAAGAGAAGTGGACATCTGCAGACAGTACTCAGAACCACTCTCCAATCCCTTCTGACCCCAGGACTCTGCTCTGAGACTGGCCTCTCTTCTCTCAGAATCTCACTTCCTCTGTGGGGATATATGCCATTTAAACATGGCTGCACTATTGACAACTGCAGCCCCCACAGGCATCTATGCTGCACAGCATGTTGAGACTTGTCCCCAACATGTGGAGACTTGTCACGATGTGTTTTCCCAAACCTACTGTCCCTTTACTGATTGGCTTGTTTACCTGAATTCCTTCTCCCTTGCCTGCACCCAAAGCCCATTGTTCTGTTAATTGCTTTATTGCTTGCTGTATTGATTATAAAATAAACTCCTGGGACTGAGGCGGGGGTCTACTCCTCAGAGTGACCCTCCTGGCCCCACTTCTCTGTAAGAGTTGTGGCATGGTTACTGTCTCCACCACTCGCTGTGACATTCCTCTCGGTGCAATCCAGTTTACTTTGGGTATCCCTTGTCCTTTACATATGTCTGCATATATTTAAACCATAATCGTAGACAAGGCTCAAAATTTTTTTTCATGGAATTCAGCAGCCCCATGAAAATTGGAGAATAGTTGTTCCCAAGCATTCTGTAACTCTTAAAGAGGCTCATGGAAGAGATTCAGGTAAGTGGCACCCAACTCCACAAGTGTACTCATAGTTCCAGCTCAGCTAAAATATCTACTCCACTTAAAACTGATCTTTTCTTTGGTTGCTAGAGAGCTTAGGGTCATATTTGTGGCCTCTCTCTAGCAAACCAATAGGGCCTTACATTTTGCATACAAAACTGCCACTCCCAGTTTCCTTTTGTCCTGTTTTTCTCTGTACTCAAACCAAACCCACTGCCATCCGGTCAACTGACTCATAGCAACCCTATAGGACAGAGTAGAACTGCCCCCATCGGATTTCCAATGCTGTAAATCTTTATGGGAGCACACTACTACATCTTTCTCCTACAGGGCAGCTGCTGGGTTTGAACTGCCACCTTTCCGTTAGCAGCTGAGCTCTTAACCACTGTGCCACCAGGGCTCCTTATTTTTCTCTGTACTTATTTTTAATCTATCCTGCTGCATATATTTATATAAGCTACCTTAAATCCCTTCTTCTAGAATAACGCAGGGTATAAATACATGTACTTTAACAGAACAAGATACAGCGATGAGGAGCCATTTCTTCATTTCCATCTGCTGCAAGCTGAGCTGGTGGTGAGTCTGTGAAAGCTACTTCAGACAGGACCACCACTACAGCTTGCTACCTGTTCTCCTATGATCACTGTCAATGTACAAGCTATATCCTAAAATGAAGGAAGAGAAACCTAGGAAAGAAAAAAAAGATTAGGAAATGCTAGCTCTGTGTGAGTGATCTGGACCATTACAAAATACTTGGTTGGACAATGCTTTTTTCTAAAACTTTTGGTTTCTACTATCTAAAGCTTATGACATAGCACAAGCATGCTTAAGCAGCTCAGCTCACCTACAGCTCACATACACACATCACAGCAATTAAGTGTGCATGTTGTGGCTCTAGATGCCTGGGCTTGAATCCCAGTGCTGCCATTTATTTCCTTATTTGTATGATTTGGGGCTAGGCATTTAACCATTCTGTGCCTCAATTAATCTCATCCACAAAGTGAAGATAAAAATAGTACTTACCTCATATGGGTGTAAAGATTAAATAACAAGTGTATAACACTTAAAATAGTGTCAGCACATACAGGGATCTCAATCCATGTTAGCTATTATTAGTGATATGTGAGTGGGAGAAGCCCTGCCTTGAGCTTAGGGCAGCATCTGTCTGAATTTTGGAAAAACACCTGAGGAATGAGTAAACATGGTCTGGCCAACTCCTAGAACAGACCAAAAACTCTGGCTTAACTCTCTTCCTCCTGCCTTTCTAGAACCGGTTTTATGTGGTGGAAAAGAACAGCCGGAGAACCAATCTTTCTGAGCCTTCGTATTGCTCCTTCTCCCTCTCTTCTATGTGCCAGACACAAAGATAAATGTTTTTACTCTCTAGGAGCTTAGCGTCCAGTGTGGAAGATAAATGCATAAACAATTACAACGTAGGATGATTAAGCAAATTAATGGAGGTGTGAACAAAAAAGCATTGTGGAAAAATGGCATCCACAGGGTGATAAAAATGTATGTGAAAGCCCCATGTGAAAGCGGTACTCATTTAAAATATTCTTATTGTTGACCTTTCCGGGGCCCACTTTAACATTTACTTCATCCAGGGACACTTGAGGAACTAGCCTTGTGGAACAGTTGTGTACAAAACCCCTTATTTGCAATGTTAAACTTTTCCAGTAGAGTAACACCTTGCTTTCGACACACGCGAACCTGGGTTTCAAACATGGGTAACTGCAGTCTACGCTTCCCGGTTAACGAAAACCTGAAGAATTTCTTGCAAAACCAGGGAGTGAAACCAAGCAAAAAAAAGCGATGCGAGAAGACACAACCACTGCGTCTGCCCAACGGCGCAGGACTGAGCAGCCGGCAAAAACCGGGGGAAGGGCAACCCTGTCTACGCACGCCCTGCGTAATGGGAGCCTCCTCGGCGCAGCAAATCCCCAGACTCTCTCGGGCGCCTGCGCTGCTGCGGGGATTCAGCGCAGGGGAAGTGGAGGGAAAGGGCAACGCACCTGCGCTAAGGCGGCGGCCGCGGGCGAGCAGAGTGCAGTGCGATTGCGCCAGGACCGGGGCGGCAAGGGGAGTCGCGAAGGGGTGCGCGGCGCGCCTGCGCGTACGATTGCGTGGCGCGGCGGCGGCGAAGGGCTTGGTGGAGTGGCGCTGCGGGTGGGGCAGTGGCGGCGCTGGTGAGCTTTGCGGAGTTGGGCGGTGCCGAGGAGGAGGTGGTGGCTGGGTCTGACGCGACCCGGTTCGTGGGGCCCCGTTTGTTTATTTATTTATTTATTTATTTGTGTGTCTCTGCGTGTGCGTGCGCTCTAACTGCTTGGTGGGGAAGGGGCGGGGGGAGGGCGCGGGCAAAGGGGTAGTTGGAACCGGGGTCGAAACGCCGCGTGACTTGTAGGTGAAAGAACGCCGCGTCGTCGCCGCAGCCTCTGCCGCCAAGAAGCCCTTGTTCCCGCTGCCGGGAAGGAGAGTCTGGTGCCGACAAGATGGCGGACGGGGAGCTGAACGTGGACAGTCTCATCACCCGATTGCTGGAGGGTGAGTGCGGAGCCGGGGCTGGAGGGAGGGGGCAGCGCCTTCATCCCCCCGCTTCCCCTTCTACCGGCGAAACCGGGGAGGGACCCTCTTTGCCGCCCCATGAGCAGCGTCTCCAGAGGGAAGCGGGGCGAACGAGCCGAGGCGTCCGCGGAGGAGGGGGCGAGGAGGCTTGTTGGCGCGGGAGCGGCCTCCGAGAACTCGGGCTGGGGGAGGCTGTGCCCACCGGGCCGCCGCGTCGGGCGCCGGGGAATGATTTTCTTTGGGACGGAGGAGCGCTGATCTGGTTTATGAGGAGCCGGTCTGCGAGGAGACAGCCTTTAAGAAGGGTTCCTGGGTTCTCCTCCCTGTAGTGTTCGGCACTGGTGAACCTTTCCAAGGAGGGTGCGACGATGCGTGCTAGTGTGCGTTGTTTGTCCGTGAAATGTGTATTCTGTGTTCTTTCTGCTTTGGCCTTTGGTGTTTCAAATTGTTCCGGAAGTGAATTTTACAAAAATCTCCTTAATATGATTGTTTAATCTGCTGCTCAGCATTTTTATATGCTATGGAAAGAACTCTTTAAGGAGAGGATAAAACTAGCGGGAGCTGAATATCTACTATTTATTATTTAGTTTTTTAAAAATAGGTAAAATAAAATCTTTGATCGGGTTGAAGAGTCACGTAAGAAATCCGAAAAGTAGTTACGTTTGCTGAAGGGATTGGCCTTTGGGTTTGAGAGTTTAACAAGTTTAAGCAGAATTTAATTTCTGAACAAAGTTAGTAAAGGTCCATCGTAAAGCTTTTCTTGTATTTGAAAGGTTTTACAGTCTTATTAGCATTTTAAGTTCCTGGTCCATGATAGTTTTTATTGAATAGTTTTATGTTGGTAGGAGGATGGTGGGGGAAGGTTGGGGGAAAAGAGAAGAACTGGAGAGGGAGTTGAACGTATTGATTTATTGAAGGAAAATTTTCAAAATTAATCGCAGTCTTCTGCCGATGACTGTCTTTACCCTAAAATTTGCGTCATCGCTAATTGCTTCGTGAGTGTGTAGAAGAGAAATTAAGCGTTTTTAAAAATTTAGAGTTTTTGTCAGGTACAGTCAAAGGATTGTATGTACATTAACTGCTGTTTGCTTTCAAATTATCTGGAGATAATTGTTTATCACAGTGAGGCCGTATGTACTTAAATTTGGAAAATTCACCAAAGAAGGTTGTGTGATTTGGGGAGGGTACTAGTTCCTTTTTTTCAACTAGTATAGGTATCTAAAACATCAGTTCTGTATGTACCCGTTGTGTAACCAAATCCAGTGTATTTGCACCATATGTATAAACTTTCTAACAATCTCAAGGCTGAATGGGAAGCAGAGTTTTCCCAGGAACTCTTACTTACTTTTTCCTTTACTATCAAGTTATTCTTGAGAGGCCCTCTGGTGCCTGCAGTCAGTGTTCACTACTTCAGACTTTGTGGACCTTTAACAGATGTGAACATCTTGCTGGGTCTTTGACTGTGAGAAATTTGTTTTGAAAACGATTGTAGAGATTTTGTAGTTGTGCATTGTCGTAAGAGGGAAAAATAGTTTTTTAGAATTTTAATATCTTGATAATCTTTAGGGAAGTTTAGGCCTATCACCATTTTTATACCTTTTAAACTTTGCTAGTAAACTTAAATATTTTTAAAATCTGATGTTTGTATCTCAACTTTTCATATATTTTATTTATTTAAATACTTAGTATATATTTATATACTTTGTAGGCATAGAATATGCATTTTAAAATGCTTGAACTGGAACCTTTTAAGTCAGATCCACTTTTTATGATTACAGATACTTATGAAACTTCACTAGTGGATTTTCCAAGGTTATTGGAAAAAAAGATGATGGGAAAAGTAGCCCAAGTGATTCCGTTTTTTTGTGTGTGTGTCTGTGTGTGTATGCAAATTAAATGTTTCTGTCTCTTTTGGGGCAGTCTTTTTTTTTTTTTTTTTGGTGTAATTCTAGTCCAGTCACATTTTCCCTTTTTAACTTAACATAGCATTTATTGACCTCTTCTGTGCCAGGCACCAGGAATCTAAAGATAAAACACTGTCTCTTTACTCAAAGAGCCCTCAGTCTAAACAAGTGATTCTCAGGTTTTTTCCAGCCTCCTCTCTGTTCATATGTTCAACACATTCCCATTTGTCAAGAGTTTCATTAGTTCTTAATTTCTGAGGAAGCATGATTAGTTTGACAGTGCCTCCTCCTTGAGATTCTCAAATTCCCCAGGCCTCCTTTGCCGCTGCCCCCCCACATCTCGATCCATTCAAAGATAGTCCATAGCATACTTAACTTTTCTAGTAATTGTTTATAGTCCTCAAATAAAGTTTTTTTTGAACACCTTGGTTTTTAGTGGTGTTACATGCTGACTAAATTTAACTCAAATTCAAATGATGGTCTTTTGTAAACCTGCCCAGTAGAATATCCACAGTTCGGGATTTGTTTGTTTTTTAAGTCTCAATAAAAGTACAAGTTAAAATTTGGCCAGAATTTGTCTACGTTAGGGGGAAAAAAATTAGCAGGACTTGATCTCATTTTAAAATGCTGATTGTAGTTCTACAGCATATTCTCGGTTCTTTTTTACTGTATCAAATTGTCTGTCAACTATAATATACTTTTACCACCTACATTTTATGAGTTGCTTTGTATTTTGCTATTTCAGGTAGGCATACTTTATACCTATCATTGCTGTACTATTTTCAAAGAGCATTTGGAACATTTTAATAAAATGTTTATGTTATTTATGCAAAACAATATACACTTTTCTTCAGTATGTTTTCTTGGGTTAAGTTTTACTCAGAACTAAAATCTAAAGATACACCATACCACTTTATCCCCTGTAATGGTCCTGCCACCACATTCTTGTGGCTTTTCATATTGCTGCTGCTGATTCTTTAAATTGAAACTACTCCATATGAGTATACTGGAAAAATGAGTAAAAGCTTTTTACTTAGATCAGTGATTCTCAAAGGAATTAGGACGGAAGTGTAGCAGAATCACCTAAGGAATATTTTTCAAACTGTAAATGGTTTATTTTGGAACAGGTGAAATGGGATGAGTAGAAACTGGTGTACAGGCAGTGCCCAGGTTACATACAAGATCAGTTCCTAACTGTGTCTTAAGTCACATTTGTAGGTAAGTCAGAACAGGTGCATACGGGTCTTATTTAGCCTTACTTAGGTGCAAGAAATAGGAGCCCTCGTGGCGCAGTGGTTAAATGTTCAGCTGCTAACCACTAACCCAAAAGTTGGCAGTTCAGACCCACAGGAGAAAGATGTGGCAGTCTGCGGCTGTAAAGATTTACAGCCTTGGAAATCGTATGGGGCAGTTTCTTCTGCCCTGTAGGGTCACTATGAGTCGGAACTGACTCCATGGCAGTAGGTTAGTGCGAGAAAAAGCTCAAAGCCTTTTCAGTGATTTAAAAGCTGCACGTGCAGCAAGTGAGGGCGATTATTAGTTCATTCTTTTCAAAGTGAGAGCAAGTTTACATAACATTAAGAGCAAGTACAGTTGTCCTCCAGTGTTCATAACCTGAGGACTGCCTGTATTTGGGAGGAGGTTAGTGTGAAAAACTTAACCAGTGATTAAGATAGTGCCACTTCTGTTCCCATCCACTGACTTCTAAGCTAGACTTGATCCAAGTGTTAAACTGGGCTCTCCCAGTTGGTAATAATTAACGTATGCCTATAATATATAGGGCACTATATAAAAAAAAAAAAAACCTGTTGCCATCAAGTCGATTCTGACTTATCGTGACCCTATAGGGCAGAGTAGAACTGCACCATAGGCTTTCCAAGGAGCGGCTGGTGAATTTGAACTGCCGGCCTTTTGGTTAGCAGCTGAGTTAACCACTGTGCCACCAGGGCTAATATATATATATATATATATATATATATATATACACACACACACACACACAGACGTACGTACATATATGTATATATATATAAAACTGTGTGCATATGTGTATGTGTATCTGGGATTTACTTTTTTCTGATTGTAAAAGTAAGGTGTGTTTATTGTAGAAAACTTGAGAATTACTGAAATATAGAGGGGGAAAGAAGTCCCCCGTACTTCCACAATGCAGAGATAACTCCTTTTGAAATTTTAATATATTTTTGTGTTCACATACTTTACATAATTAGAATATCCTTTATGCAGTTTTATGAGTTTTTCATGTAGCACTATGTCATGAACATTTTTCCTTGTCATTGAAATATCTTCGGAAAGATTTCAAAAGCTGTTTGCTGTGTCTTAGAAGTTTTCCCAAAGTGTTTATTACTTTACCAAAAAACTGAACCTTGAATATTACAACATAAGTTGTAGAATATTAATATTGTATAAGCTTCCATGGCAGTATATGATTTTGTTTCTATTTTTGACCCACTAGTGGCTTTATGGAACCCTGGTGACAGTGGTTAAGAGCTCCGGCTGCTAACCAAAAGGTCAACAGTTCAAATCACCAGCCACTCCTTGGAAACGCTATAGGGCAATTCTACTCTGGCCTATAGGGTTGCTATCAGTTGGCATTGACTCGATGGCAGTGGGTTTGGTTTTTTGGTTTTAGTGGCTTTACGGAGCCCTGGTGCCATACTGGTTAAGCATTCAGCTGCTAACTAACAGGGCGGCAGTTTGAATCCACCAGCTGCTCCTTGGAAACCCTGTGGGGCAGTTGTACTCTGTCCTGTAGGGTCGCTATGTGTCCAAATCCACTCGATGGCAATGGGTTTGGTTTAGTGGCTTTATGAAGATCTTGGGATGTATGTGTTCTTGTCTTCTAATCTATGTTTCACTTGACCTCAACTTTTCAGATGTCAGACTTTATGAAACTACTGTGATCATTTAGGAATCCTGGGTGGCACAAACAGTTAAGCACTCAACTACCAGCTGAAAGGTTGGTGGTTCAAACCCTCCCAGAGGCAGCTCAGAATACAGGCCTGGCAGTCTGCTTCCGAATAGTCACAGCCTCAGAAACCCTATGGAGCAGTTCTA